CGTTGCCATGCAGACTTCAGCTTCAACTCGGTGTTTGTTTCGCAAGACGGGTCTGCATTTTTGGACCCCAGCTTCAGTAAGCCCGTGGCATCAGTAGACACCGCAGGGTCTTTTCTAATGGTCTCAACCTCCTGCGCTCTGCTGCAACAAGTCTCGGCCTTGACATAGGTAAGGATCCCTGTCTCAACCATGTCCACGAACAAATCCACTAAGTGGTTCGAAGGGATTGTCATCGGATTGAAAACCAGACCCCCCAACTTTTTCTCCTGGGCTTGTTGCCTCGCCACACGCTCTGCCGTCGGCAATTTTCGAGTGGCTACGGCAGGGTCTGGGTTTGACTCCGCTCTCAATCTCACATCTGTCAAGGCCATGGTGTGCGCCTCAAAAAATAGGCGTCGCAACGAAGCCAGCTGATCAGGGCTGGGCTCGTCATCCAACAACCCAGCTAAGAAATCACGCAGCGGCTTTTCATCGGCACTCTGGGGTGAGTATGCAAACCCAAATGCAAGCCGTCCATATGTTGCAAATCTCTTCTCTCTGATTTTGTCAATGACCCACTGTTCCAGTCCTATCTGTTTTGCACGGTCAGTGAAGGCAGCTTCTGAGTCTAAGGTGGATGACATGGCTCACACCAACAGAGTTGCCAAGTTGGCTCGCAAAATGCAGTGCCGCAAAACTGAAATTTCTGTTGAAAAGTGTTGCACACTGAGTTGACTCAGGCGGATGTTCAGTAAACGCTGGTTTCACTCAACACAAAGTTTTTTCGTCAATGCAATGCAGTGAAATTTCAAAGTGACATGTTCACAAAATAAAAACTGAGGTTCTGACAGTGAATGTCGACAAGTTCAAATCGATTTCACTGTCTTTCCTTTAAAAGCTTTTAAATGCATAACTCTGGTGTTCATGCATGTTTACGTGAGGTCAGATTCCCACAGCCTCCTTGAGTTTTGTCAGGATGCGCACATTCCGGTTACGCTGCCAGACAACAAGGATGCTCACAAGATTTCACAACATGTTCAATTGCTGTTCAAAAAAAAAATCCAATGGTCAGCACAGCATGCGGGTTAGGACAGAAATGTTGGACATGAAATCAGAACCTGAGAGATACCTGATGCCTCGCAATTGAAATTCTGTGCCAATAATCAGTGCACAAACTCGGAATGGTGATGTCGGTCAAAGCCCCTAAAAAACTGTATTAAAATCTTTGACTGCCGTCGCATGATCACTACCCTTGTCTTTGATGACACAAGTGAACAGCTAGCGCTCGGTTGCGCCAGTTTTTCCACGCTGGGCATGTGTCTGAGCTTCATACTAGGCAGGCTCTTTGCTGGTAAAAGCACGCTTGCACTGTGTACATCCTTCACACAGTTTCCGGTCAGCCAGCATGAGTCCGAAAGACTTGAAGTTCACTGAAGGCCGACGGCCACAAAGCAAGAAACCATCTTCATTCATCGTATGGACTAAGTTCGACACGCGGTGGACTAGGAGTTGACTCTCAGGCACTCCAGGAAAATCTGGAAACAGAGATGTGGGATTTGAGCTGCTGGCCGCCCCTGACCTGAACACCTCTTCACCTGCCTGTCCACAGTCAGACGCAACACTGGATTCAGAGCCTGAATCATATCCAGAGTCGAGTTGATTGCTGTCATCTTGATTTGCATGCTGAAGGTCAGAACTGTCTGAGAGCTGGACCACCCTGTCAATTGCCGGCAAGTCCGGATCAAATTCACCATTGCGCATCAGTCTGAACATCGACAAAACTTTTGAGTACAATGCAGTGTATGACTCCCTTGAGTAAGTCAAAATGCTTTTCATATGGGGCTCCAGGTGATGGCCCAGTAAACGCCTTTCAGTTGGGCTGAAGGTCACCGAACTGCACCTGCCCGCCCATGTGAGCAATGTTGACTTGCAGCTGTGGGAGCCAAAGCAATGCACTTGGGAGGGCTCCAGCTGCTCACCCAAAAATTCTCGCAACCAGTAGGTTGCCTCCGATGCACTCATTGGGCTCTCTGTCCATTGGCAGGGACGTTCCGAAAAACTGGGTAAGGCATAGCCCTCGAATTCCAGCCCTTCAACAAGTCTGCATTGGATCCAGTCTGCCCCCCAATCGCGACCACCAACTCCTGACCCCAACGCAATGTAAGGCAGGAATCGCGTTCGAGCTTCTGCTGACAGTGCTGTTTTGGAAGCAATGGCATCGCCATGGATAAGAGACTCGCCATGCCCCTCTTCTGACCACAAGTTGCACAGGCGTTGGGCATCTTTCCACCTGCAACAAGAGTGGATGCAAAATAAGAGTTGGCCAAGTATGCATCTCATAGTGTTGGGCAACTGGTGGTACAAGTCTTCCAGAAACTGTACGCTAGCAAAAGTCAAAGGGTGTTTCTGCTCAAGGGGGTTCTTCAGCAAGTACATGTCCCTCGCTACCCCCCGGCATCTCCCTGAGGCCACAAGTCGGAGTTCCACCAAAACCAGCTTTGCAGTTGAATCCAGGAAAAACAAGGCTTCCAGCATGTGTTGAGCCGATGTAGCCCCAGCTCCACTTTCTCTCAGGGTGCATAGAGCAGTGTACAGCTGCAGTTCTGTCAAACGCAATGGATTCAGAACTCCTTGACTTCTCAATAGTTTTGAAAGTCTCCACAAGGAACTTGATCTCTTCTGAAGCGTTGAGGATGCTTTCATACGAAAACAATCATGTATTGATTGATCTGCAACGGATGGGTGGCATCCACTGTCAAGCATCGTTTTAATGCTAACTCCCAGTTGACTGGCCAATGGGTCTTGCAAAATAAGGTCTCGCAGTTTAGCCAATGCCACCCGCCTGATATCCTCATCTGGTTTCTCATGCCGCACCTGCTTGATGTTCAGCTTGACCACTGGTGGTGGAGGCGCTGCGTCTCGCTCACTCATGAGACTGTCATCCAACCGTTGTGAATGCAAAACATCTGAAATGCCAAAATGTGCAGGTTGCAACATGTCTGACAAGTTTGAAACTGCAGTCCCACTCCACTTGTCACCACTTCTGAAAATCATACTGAAAGGGCCCTGTTCCCAAGGCAACTTCGGTTGATCCAACCTGCGTCTCTTCGACTGAGCAGCCAACGCACAATGTTGCCACTTGTACTCCAAAGCTGCAGGCCCGGACACGGAAATTGCAGGAGCATCCCCTAACAAAGTGTCAACAGGTGACTCCGGCTCATAGAAACCATCATCAACATCAGCAGCACCATCTGGGATGTACATCCAGCTGTTGAAATGTTCAAAACCTCTTGATGCATCAGATTGTCTGTCAGCCATGCAATCATCAAGTTCACTGAGAGGATGTGCAACTGAAACAGCTGGTGACGCACCATTCGAAACTGAGGCAGCTGACTTTTCGGTCCATCGCCTTCGAAAACCCCTGGGCTGTCGAGGTGGTGAAAAACCTGGTTCATTTCCAAACATGGATACCACGAAAATGTAGTCACGCCAAAAGCAACCAGCAAATGAATGAGCAACCTGCCAGAAAACCCATGGAAAAAGCATAACACGAGTCAACACGACGAGGCAGTTTCTCAGCTCTGATTGCAGCGACAAGAGCCTGACCCTTTGTGATTGAATCACGTCTGAAACATGGCATCAAGACCCCCGATTCTACAAATTTCGCGGTTTTCCAAAATTTTAATGGAAACCCACCCACCTAACCCTTGATCCAGGTTGCTACCGCACAATAGATCCTCAAGGTTTTAAACAATTCAGATTTGTCACACTCAACGAATTGACAGCAGTGAAGTTTGGTTTACTGATCGGATTCAGAAATAAACCAAACAAAGAAGATTGACAAACAGGACAGTTTAGTCAGAGTTGTTTTTCGAGTCTTTGTGGTTGTGACATCGAAAAATCAAAAATTTTAAAAATCACAGGTGATTGTTTGAAACAAGGTTTGTTGGTTGAGCAGGTTTCGCGCACATGCATTTGGCGTAGCGAACGCGTGGGCAGAGGGGCGCATACGCAGAGAAGGATAAGGGGAGGAAAACAGACCGGGCTACAGTGTAGCCCTGTTTAGTACGCCAGAGAGAAAGTATTGTCTGCAAGCAGAAATTCCCATCCTCCTATGTGTATATGGTTCCCAAGATTTTGACTTTGACCACACTTCGGCGGAAGGAGAGTGGATGCCACGCCTGGTCTTGAAGAGGAAGCTTCAAGGATGTGCAGGTCACACTTCCATGTTTGCGGGTGGGCTCCTGCTGCACGGGTTCTGCACTCCATGGTTGCATCGGGAAATTGATGCGAATAGAACCATCTGAGTTCATGGTGATACCCAAATGATATTTTCTGTTTTCAAACTTTCATTTTGTGATCTGAAATCAGAAAAAAGATTTATGCGTCCTGGAGAGAAATTTATGCGATTAGCTGCGAATCAGTGCGTCTTGTAGGATTTCCAAAAAACCATCCAGAAACAAAGATGATATTTGGAAATTGTTTTTGTCACTTTGGAATTACGCAGGGCACTTTTTTGTCCAAGTTCTCCAAAAGGGGGTGTTTCACCTTTTGACTAAAACTTTTGACCTTTGAGCTGCGCTTTGGCCCATGGCTAATGGGCCCTCGAAGCGGGTTCGTGGAAAGAGTTCCCCTAAAGAAGAAAGGAAGAAGGACAAAACCTCGCGGAGTTCATCATCAGCCAAGGCTGTTCTGAAGGAAAAGACTACCAAGAAAGACACGAAAGCTACCAAAGGCAAAGAGAAGGCAAAGGTTGAGCAAGGACCAGCAGGCAAGAGCAAGGTGCAGGAGAGCTTGAAGAGGGAAGCTGAGAAAGCAAAGAAGGAAGCTGAGAAAGCGAAGGAAGCCGAGAAAGCAAAGTTTATTGCCGATCTCAAGAGCCTTCATGAGGCAAACAAAAAAAACAGCAAGAGGAGAAGAAGATTGAGAAGAAGAATGTAGTAGAAGGAAAGACTTTGACCCATGAGAAAGTGAAAGCAAATCAGAAGGCACTGGAGAAGGTCAAGGTAGGGAAAAAGGAGATGGCAGACGAGACGGTGAAAAAAGACAAGAAGGAGGAAAGGAAGGAAAAGGAGAAGGATGACAAAAAGGTCATGAAGACCAAGAAAGAGAAGAAGGAGAAGGAAGGTGAGAGGGGCAGATCGCCCAAGAAAGCAAAGAAGGAGAGAAAGACGGCTGAGAAAAGTGAGACGAGTGAGAAGAAGACGGCAGAGAAACCCATCGTCTTCGTTCCCGTGGTGTGCAAGAAAGCTGGGCAGGTGTTTGAGACACCAGAGACCAAGAAGCGGGTGCCTTCACCGAATGCCCCGGAGCCCGATGACAAGAAGAAGAAGAGAAGATCGGTTTCCCCAGCACTGTCTCTACCCAGCACAAGCACTGCAGTGGCCAAAGTGGCTGAAATGACATCCTTGATGGAAGAGAATGATAGCGGCAGTGAAGCCGAAAGTCCCAGCCAAGAAGCGGCATCAGATCCATCATCAGAGGAAGAGAAGTATGATGAAGAAAGCCCAGAAAGCAAAGAAGAAGAAGAAGGAGAAGCCGGAGCTGGCGACAAGGAGGAAGACGAGAGTGAAGACGCGTCGGACGAGGAGGACGAAGATGACGGTGAGGACGCAGAGGGAGATGACGATGAGGAGGAAGAAGAAGAGGAGGAAAATGACCAAAGCAGTGAAGCAGAAGAGGAAGGAAAGGAGGAAGGCGGCAAGGAGGCGGAAGCCAAGGAGGGAAAAGAAGATGAGGCAGCCCCGCAGCATGCCCTTGTAGCAGTTACAAAGGCAACAGCAGAAACGGCTCTGGTTCCCGTGCGCAACAGCACCTAGTAACACACTAGCAACAGTTTGGTTTCCACCCATATGCAAAACTATAATGGAGTTGGGGTTCATGTAGCTTTTTGATTCAATATCCCACAGTCAAACCAGGCACGACCAATAAGAAGGAGTGGGACTCTTTCTGCCGAAGCAAGGGACGGTTCAAGGTACATGAGTACTATACCCAAAACAAACTTGACTGCTTCAACATGTGGATGGACATGGGGAAGGATTGGGACAAGGTAACTCTTGCCGTGGAGAGGTTGCATGCCCAGCATACCGAATCGAAGCGGGGGTGGGTTGCCCAGCAAGGCAAAGAAATTAAAAAAAACACAGCGAAACCAAAGCGAAGGCCATCATAGATGCCAGAAAAGCAGCAGGTCTATGGTACCCCTCGGATGACTTTGAGGATGATGAGGATGAAACTTGATGACTTTACAACAGTTTGTTTGTTCTTCTTAAATTAACAAAACTTTTCCACAATTGATTTCGTGGTTTGACAATTCCTCTCCACTGGCTTAAGGAAGCTTGGTACTACATGCCAGCCCCTAAGAAGATCACCCACAAGGATGTCGTTTCTGAGAGTACGGTACTCCATGCAAAGACCAGTGTGGACCCAGAACTTCAAAAGGCCCTTTGCAATGAAGAAGATGGATTCATGCGACCTGGCGCTATGCCTGCTGTGACAACAGCGTCAGCTGCTGGCACCAAAACGCTCTTGGAAGCTGTTGCTAAGGCTAGGTGACTGTCTAGATATCAATTTGTGATCTACGTGACAATCTTTGCAAACAAATATTCACATATACCTCTGGCAGTTTGATTGGAACTGTGGGACAACATTTGCAAACAAATCCATATTTCATGTACCAAATCGACATAAAGTATCGGTGATGTAGTCCACCAACAGCCCATATCACCCTGTGATCCACTTGCTCCTTGGAACAGGAAGCCTGTGCAAAGAAGAAGTCAAAGCCTCAGCCGAAAGAGAAGTCAGAGGAAGTGGTTCCCCAGACAGCCAAAGAAAAGGTGACTGAAGCGATTGGCAATGTTCTGAAGGAGGTCGGGGTTGCTAGAACAGCAGCCATCACGTTGCAAGGTCTTGAATACGCAGACAATCTGAGCCAAGCCATCAAGAGCCATGCTGATGGCGTTGAAGCCTACTACTCTGAAGTTCAAAGGACTTTGAAAGGATCCCCATCAGAAAAGGAACTTGCAAAGGTTCTGCAAAAGATCGAGGAAAAGTCGCAAGCCACGAAGAAGCTTCAGGCTGGGTGGCTGAGTTTCTGGCACATGTCATCAAATGTGTTGTGGCCCCCATTTGCACCTGCAAATGAGCGAGCCAGTCATAGGAGAACCCAGGTCATCATGTTCTCATGTCCAGACTGTATGACTCCCTATGGTTTCAATCCCATACGCAAAATGATATTGTTATATAATAGGATTTCAAGAAGTATTCATGATATCTCCCATGACCTTTCCGTCTTTGAAATCCCACAGCTCTCAGGACATTTCCCTGCTCCAGTATTTAGATGGCCTTACTGTTTAAAGACATTTTTCCAATTCTTTACTGCATCGGTTTCTAAAGCAACCATTGCCATGTTATTTCACAAGGGTTCCCATCCTGTGCCTATCCTTTGGTGGCTCTTCATGCCAGGCTGCAGCCAACGCATTCCTGGCCAACAGCACGGGCAAAAGCAAGAAGGCCAAAGGAAAGTCAAAAGCAAAGGCAAAGAAGGAGAAAACTTCCTGAGATCTGCTGAGTCTTCCGGGACCATGTCAGTGGTGCGAAGGTGTGTGCTTAGAGTGGCTGTCCACATGTGCCACCATCGCTAGGTTTTGTGGGGTATGACAAGTGTGAACCATTTGTCTTGACACAATCTACAGTTGTTCAAGCATGCCCACATAAGAAACATCATGTTGAAAGCAGAAAGATTATTTTAGAATCAGTCTTTCAAGATCTTCGTTGGCAGTGTGGGTATGTTGAGTTGGATTTGATTCCCACTGATTCCCACCAAGGGAGTGGGACTGGGCTCGTCGACATCCAAGAGCGCAAGAGACAAAAAGATCTATTCATTCTCTCCCAGCAATCCTGTTCAGATCAGTATGGGTGAAATCGTATTTTTGGGGGGCCAACATTTGAGTTTACCATTTACTTTTCACACGTGACCAGTATGAAGTTCCCCATGGCGACCGGCCTCTGTGCCAGGCATTGCTGCAACTTCAAGGCCAGCTGCGCCTGCCATTGGAGAACGGTTGAAATTGTAATAGAACTTCTCTTCGCAACAAAAAAAGTGAGAACTTGAGCAAACATTTGGGGAATGTGGGACACCCTTGCATATACGAACGATATCTCGTTGGCTTGTCTTTGAAGGATTTAGGACAAGTGGCACAAAATACCCAAAAGGATTACAGGTTTGGGATTTGATGTTAGGAATGGTATTGGATAGTTTCAGGTGCAACCCAAGTACCATGACTAGATCAACAATTGAAAAGCACGGCCATTGCCAGGAAGCGACAGAGATTTGAATCCACGACTTCAGAAACATGCACGAAGTTGCTGCACATGATCAGCAGGGGTCGGATCTCAGTTACTGGTGCCGTGGATCTGGCTAACTGCATGCTGGAGGATGGGATGGTGAACCGTGCTGTTGATAGCTTTGCCAGTTTGGGTGCTAACAACAGGCATCCTTCAAATGGTGAAAGGGACTTTCACAGGTGGCTTCGTGACCTGTTTGGCTTTCGGCTACAAACGTACACGGTTTGGATGGACTTACAAGACACTCAGCTGTAGTTGGCCATGGGTCAAAAGCAAAGACATGCCCACATAAAAATTCAATAAAATTCATGTTTCTGATCAAGGTGGCTTACACCAAATGGTTTGTAAGGATGGTTTGACCCTGGCTCAACATGTCTATGAAAACTGTTCTTTTACAATATTTTTGGTTTCGCTATGGTCAACTTAACATGATGGAATCTGGAAACAACACCTGTTGCAGGTTGATGGTTTTACGCCCAAGCGTTGCCCTGTCCAATGCTTGCTTCCACATGAAATTATTCACTGCCTTTCTGAACATCCTTTCGTGTTTCGATCATTGTTGGCTGGGTCATTGGAGCCATCTGCTATCGAATCATTCTGGCGACATTGTCAAAGTTTAGATGCTTGGTGTGACCATCCAATCTTCAAGGACACCACAGTGCCATTGGATCGAACAATACCATTGACCATCCATGGAGACGGGGCCCAGTTCTATCGGGAGGATGAGATGTTCGTATACTCTATCTCTTCATTGTTTGCACCGACTGGAATCATACAGGACATCTTGCTCTATAAGTTTCCTTTTATGATCATCCCAGAGAGGTACATGCGAAGTGAAGCTGTTTCTTATGCGCAAAGCCAGCAAGTGTTATAGAACACCCCAGAAGCACGTGGGTTGACTGTGAATGTATGTGAATGTAAAACTATAGATCATTATAGATCTGTTTTCAACCAAACCACCCATAGCACTTCTGTTACAGCTGGTAAGTCCGGTAGGTTGCCCTTTTTTATTTTAGCACCCATGTCATATCCAGCCATGCTCTCACATGCCCAGGTAGCAAAGGCCGTCAACAAAACGGCCGCAGATCTCGCCTGCTGGTCGATCCAGTGTGCAATGCGAGGCACGGCACCTGAAGTCGGCTTTCGTGGTGAGCCCCTCAATGGCCACCGTTTGGCCATGTCTGGGAAACCATTGGCACAAGGTTGGAGGCTCCTGGGTTCCTATGATTATTTGGACATCATATGGGGTTTTCTAAAATGTGGGTACCCTCAAGCCACCTACAGTATGCGAGATGATTTTCTATAAACGATTCATTTGGGACGTACCCCTCCATTTTAGGAAACCCCTCATATATTTTTATAGGATATGTTTCAAATAGTTTTCAATCCAGAAAGAAGAGCACAGAGTTTGAAATCCAAGGCTCCTGGGTTCCTATGATTATTTGGACATCATATTGGGTTCTCTAAAATGTGGATGCGATCAAACCACCTATGCGAATATGATTTCTAAAAGCCACTCATTTGCGATGTTTTTAGGAAACCCTTCACATGTATTCAAAAACGATATGTTTCAAATAGTTTTCAAACCAGAAATAAGAGCACAGGGTTTGAAACCATATATATCTGAAACATTTTGGGTTGGGTGCAATACCTCTGTACCGAAATGTTTGTACTTCAGATTTGGTGATGCTAAAATATCCCGACTTCATTATATTCAGCTCAGGGCCTGCTACTTTGCTATGAAGGCCGACCTCAAGGCCCGAAAATGGATGCATGGTTTCAATCGCTACTACAAGGCCGGTTGGTTGCTCGGCTTTCCCATGAGCAAGATGCCAACAGTTAGGGGTACCAAAAGATAGGTTGCCCCAGCTTTGGGAAATAACGATACTGTTTTCGGGATACCATTCAAACTTGGGAAGGAACATCGTTGTTGAAGAATTATATAGATTGTATCTTAATGGATTACCAGCTTTGTGGAAATACCACATGTTTGTGGCTTCAGATAAGGATCAAAAAATACAGGAAAACCCATGCGTACTCTTTGGGATGGCATTTTGAACATAGGGCTCAATCCCATAACCAGTCAGGATGTGTGACAGCTGTCTTGCATGTTCGGGCACCAAATGTGATGAGAGAATGCACTACAAGAATTTTGGGCCTGGAAAAGCTTGGGACCACACCTTGATCAACCACAGCATGTACCTGTCGATGCCGGGCGAGCTCAGTCCGTGGTCTACGGTGCCAGGGTGGAGCTTGGAGTCTACGACATTTGATTTCATGCACAACCTGTATCTGGGAACTGGGAGGGATCTTGTAGGATCTACGTTCAAGTGCCTTATCTGGCGAGGTGCTTACTCCCATCTACCAATGACTGACATGAATTCCATTTTGGCTGTCATGCAAGAAGAGATGGTTCACGAATGTCGGCAATGTGGGCTCCATGGCCAAGTTTTGAAACCAACCAAGTTTTTGATTCCTTCGTCATCTTTATTGTTTTGAAACCAAACTGATTGGACTTGCTCATGCCTCGGGGCCTTCAACTATTTGCGTTTTTTCTGCATGCATCCCCTTAAGACCACCTATCAGGTTGTACCTTCCCAGAAAACCGAATCTGACGGAAGCAAGCCTGAGCGACAAAGACTACTCCGAACTCAGCACGAAGTTCAAAGCCTGTCATGTCAAGATCATGGTGTACTGGATTGCCAAAAAAACGAAAGAGGCAGCTGAGTCACACCCCCAAGATTCTAGAATGGATTTTCTATATGTATTCGTGTGCCACCAAATGCCAGTGGGGTTCATCGGCTTGTTTATCAAAGGTTTTTTATATATTCAACAGTTGCCACCAGCAATCGTGTTGATTTGGAAGAGTTAGAAAAACGGAAAATGGGCATTTCCAAACCCGGCTTGTCTAAGGACATCGTTCTACAAGTTCTGGCAACTTGCTGCTTCGCCTTGCAGAAATGCATTACCATACTGGACAATGAGGGGTTGATTTTAGATCACAACACAGCTGCTGAAGCTTCGGACATGCTGCTACTTCATGTCAAAGCATACGCTTGGTTGGCAGCTTTTTTTTACACAGAGAGGAAGATGATTTTTAGAATCCGACCAAAGCTGCACTACATTTGGCACCAAGCCATGCAATTGAAAAAGTGGCGTATAAACATAGGTGCCTTTGCAACGTTTCATGATGAATCGTTCCTTGGAAAAATCAAGGCAGTTGCAACAGCTTGTCATGGAAAAACTATGACTGCTAGAGTTTATGAGCGGTATATTTTATGTTTAGCCCTCTTGGTGCACCAGCATCAACAGTTGGATGAAGCCACTGCTTGAACAGGGGGCGTTGGGGTTGGATACAAACCTGGAAATGTATTGAAACATTGCAACCACCATCAAGTTTGAAAATCACTTGATTTACGCGTACCTTCTGGGTTTCATATCCAACATGTTGCAGGGGACATGCAACCATGCCAGTTGGACCTTGTCGGCAATCACGCAACGAGCCATCACGCGGAAAACGCATGCAGTGATTGTGGGTTGTTGGAACTGGCTGTGGTTGGGAATCCCCCTGAATTTCACACCCAACATTTTTTTTTTATTTCTATCAGTGAAATCAGATTCTATCATGTTGTGATGGTTAAAAAAAAGTGGAACGAAACCAGACGTTCCGAAAAAATGGTTGACCTTTGAAGTTGGGAACCGTCGTGCAGCATTTGTTTGATATCCCAAAATCAGCCAGACGGCAACCCGGTGGTGGAACGGGCTGCTGAAGAAATACCATGTCAGTTTTGTGGAAAGCATAATTGCCATCCTAAATCTTAATACTACAACTTCGACGGTAATCGGACCCATATGGGAATCTATTTCTTGTTATTGGATATATCTGGATCTGGTAACAAAATGCTACCCCATTTTCAGACACACAACCCCAACATCGGTTTGGATAAGATTTGCCCAACCAGCAAAATACATTGTCTGGGTGAAGTACCCCAACCATTCAGGTGGCAATGTTTTGGGATTGAGCTGGCTATATAAGGTCACATTCCAACGGTGATTTTAATGGGGAAAAAACAATGGATTATATAGTTGTGATCTTTCTGGGTGCCATGTTTTTGAGGTAACCTCTCCACAGGGCTGTTGATTGCATATTATATACTATGTATATATGTATATATATATAGTTGAGGTTGCTGTTCATGATCCAAACAGACCATCGGGAATCGGGCAGCCCATAAACACTTTTTCCTTTGTAATTTGTTGGAACCCTATATCCAGGTAGGCCTTCAACGGTAAATTATCCTGTGAAATCCGGTGATTGTTGTGACGATCCGGGATATGTCACCCAACTGCAGCTAGTCCATAACCAACAATTTGTATCAGCATCAATCATCCATGGTGATACTCGCAATACCCAATTTCAGACACACCAATGTGGTATGCCAATGGTTTGACCTTTCACTTGCACATCGAAGGTTTGTCTGAAACTAGGGTACCACAAATAACATATATCATTGATATGTATCATACTTACCATTGTATAACCAATTCTCACACACACCTGTGCCAGTGGTTGGGTCTTAAACCTATTCAATGTTTGTCTGAGACCATTCAAACTTATCACCTACATCTCATCCATGTCAGCCCACAGTTTCTAAGATCACTAACGTGGTATTTTTATAACCTTTCAAGCACTTTCAAACAGTCTCAAAACCAATCTCGTTGAAAACCCTAAAAGGATGTTGTTGTAAGCCCTAAAACGGTGTCGTTACAAACCCTAAAACGATGTTGTTGTAAACCCTAAAACGGCGTCGTTACAAACCCTAAAACGATGTCGTTACAAACCCTAAAACGATGTCGTTACAAACCCCAAAAAGGTGCCGTTGCAAACCCTAAAACGATGTCGTTGTAAACCCCAAAACGTCCAAATCACCAAACCCAAATTTCTATCCCTTCCTTGGACACCCTAAAACGGTATCGTTCCAAACCCCAAAAAGGTGCCGTTGCAAACCCTAAAACGATGTCGTCGTAAACCCTAAAACGTCCAATTATAAAACTTTACTGTCCATGCTTTACCGTTGGTGGTTCCGAGCCACTTGAAATTTTAAACTTGCATATTGAAAACCCTAGAACGATCTCGTTGTAAACCCCAAACGGTGTCGTTATAAACCCTAAAACGGTGTCGTTATACAAACCCTAAAACGCTGTCGTTGTAAACCCCAAAAAGGTGTCGTTATACAAACCCTAATACACTTTAAATTCTATGTGCTTCTCCATTTGTTTCTTTGGTGGTACTATAGCCAAAATCCAAAACTTGTCTTTGTAAACCCTAAAGCGGTGTCGTTCGAAACCCTAAAACGGTGTCGTTCGAAACCCTAAATCGGCGTCGTTTCCGTTGGAAACCCTAAACTTCCATGGGAAACACTAAGGAGGTTCCATACCCTTAGCATATTTCCAAAGATTATATTTCAAGGTATGCATGGTGCAGTGCACCTTTGATACTTAGTGAAAGTTTATGAGTTGCTTGCAGAGGCATTGGGGTTGAACGAAGCGTGGATTACCAGGTCCTGAAGTGGGTCGAGTTGTGACACCCTTCTTGCATTGACAGCTCTGAACGAGACCATGCAACACTTCAGTGAAGTGTAAACTGCTTGTGCAGTTGCTTTGCTGGGGCCCTTCGGATCGCTGCTGCTTCACCCGCGTGTTGGGGATGTCTCAGTAGCGATCAGCACTTCTGAAGCCTTTTTTTGCAGTGTTTTTCTTGGTACAGGTGGTACAGGCATGCAATTTCCTTTTTTTGTACAGACAAGTAGCATGTTTTTGTACAGATAGTTCATTTTTTGTACAGATTGTACAGGCAATTTACATTTTTTATTATCAGATTATAAGATTTTTTGTACAAATAGTTCATTTTTGCACAGCTTGTACAGGCAATTCCTTTTTTGTACAGATCATTTGCGGCTGTACAGACAATTCATTTTTTTATCAGATAATCAGCATTTTTAGTACAAAAATAATTCATTTTTGTACCGCTTGTATAGACAATTCATTTTTTGTACAGATAATTAGTTTTTTTTTGTACAGACAATTCATTTGTTTGTACAAATTGTACAGACAATTCATTATTTTATACAGATAATTATAGCACGTCTGCAGGTTTTGATGATTAATTGCCTCTTTTCGACATGATGCTTCCTTCTCATGTCTCCTGCAAAACACATCGTTTCTCCTAATGGCATCGTTATCTTGAAAACATGTTGTTTGAACATATAGTCGTCCTTTCTGCATCGTTGGATCCTCTAGGAGGGTCGAAGTGGCGACGAAGTCCTTCACGTTGCTCACCTGTGCCCGATTTGTTGGACTTGGCCAAGGGGAACTCTGCCACATCGGTGGCAGTAGCTTTGGGCTCCAGACTGTGTTCGTGGCCTTTAATATTTTCATATTGTTCGTCCCACTGCCTCTTAGCAAAGTCGACGAGGTCGAAGAACACGTCCTGTGCAGTCGCCTGGTCAATGGGCATGACACTTCCAGCCCAATCATGAAGCAACGGCGTGGGTTCCCCCCTCGCTTTCAAGAGCTCGGCAGTGAGCACTGCAAACTGTGGGAGCGTGAGCAACCTGGCATGGTGGGCGACAACTGCCTCACGGGTGACGTCCAAGGGTTCACGAATGTCACGCTGGTTGTCCGGCATGAAGATGAGCCTTGTACTGACACCTGTTCCCAGCTGCTTCTCACGGCTTTCCCTGGACCTGCCGAAGTCAGGAGAAAGGCAATTTGCCAAATCTTCCAAAAATTAACAGCAGTCCGGTGTAATCTGGGAAGTGGCACAATTGAAGAGGTAAAATGGATCTCTTTCGATTCGATCCTGAATTGATGAGAATCCAAGTTTGCTGTACCTGCCAGCATGGGTCTGGGCTGCATCACGAAGATTACCAAAGTTGCTTCGCCCAGCCCGGCGTTGGTCAGCCCTCGTCCTGTCACTCACCCGCTGTGCTCGAGGCTGCTTTTCGAAATCAATGCGGTCCAAAGCAAAAACACGATGGGTCTTCTTGGCCGTGATTTCCATCCGGCATACCTCAGTAGCAATTCTGCCGTCGCTCCACGCCACAAGCCACTTGAAGCACGTCTGGCACTTGTGGGTCCCCTCAATGTTTTCGGCCCTGCAAAAATGGCAATTCACCTGTTGCATCTCAACCTTCTTACTGTAAAGGTAGTCTTCTTCATTCAAAGAACCTGCGGCCGACCCTCCCGGGTAGCTTGACTTTGCATAGCCCTTTCCACGACCCCGTCCCTTGCCTTTTCTGATCGTCTCGGCGTTGGACAAGATCCCAAAAGTAGCCGTCCTCAAAGTCAGCTGATCCTGGAAAGCCCCGTTTTGTCCTTCTCTTCGACGGGTGAGGGGAGGAAGCGAATCTGGCTCCGAAGTTCTGGCCATCTGAAGCTGCTTCACGACGTTGCCGTTGTTGAGATGCTCTTTCAAATTGGCCTGTGCCTTTCCCAAGGGGCTTGCTGCTAATGCTGCACTTTTCGGGGTGTCATCTTTGATATGACTGCCCAGCATCTTGTTGTATCCCCCCCGGATAACTTCATAAGGCCTGTTGACCCAAGCGAACTCACGGTTCACGGCGTCGTACGCACAGATGATCGCCTCGTTCGTGATCCAGTCGGGCGACATGATTGCCTCATCTGTTCTGAACAGTCGGCAGCCCGACTGAATCACCAACTCAGTATCGAAGCACAGATAATACTGCTTTCCGGCCCGCGTTCCCGCGAGCTTCTTTCCTCCCACTGCATCATCCCACGGATGTGATGAAATGAAGAAATTGTGGGCTCTCCCAGTGCGATGTGGCCAACCTCCTGGGATGAGACCATGCTCGACAATTTTCTCCATCGCAATTCAGTCGCAGGAGTGATAAATGAGCCGAGGGATCTCCCGCATCAACTCCGGTGCGAGATCTGGCCGGAGGTTCGTCTTGGGCAGCTTCGGGGTGTCGAGGTCCGCAATCTTGTAGGTCGGATCAAGGGTGAAGACTTGCTTCACCAAACTCGAAATCTTGGCGTGCTCGATCATCGCCTTCGAGTGCCCCTGAATTGCCCTGATTGACACCACTCGCCATGGCAGACCCTTCCAGGTTGCTTCGGGTAACTCAGGCTGAGGGGATCATAGTCTGGCGAAGGGGCTCCACGTGCCTTGGCGTGACCACGAAGCATGTAGGAGAGCTTCGTCCCAATGAGCCGGAGACGGCCTTGACCTACGTATTCATAGGGGATGCGAGAGGTCATGTCCTTGGGATCGAGCCATACACTTTGTTCCTTCCGTTCCGTGGCCTCTTGGAGCTTCTTCAAGGCGAGGTCAGTCTGCTC